AGGCGTTACAGTAATTACACCAAACTACCAGAAGTTACACTGACCAAGGAACATATTTGCTCCTTTAAAGGAGAGAAGAAAACAGCCCAACATGGAGAGACCTGGGCATTGCCCACTCCATGAACAGCAGCAAGAGCACACTAGGAACTGGCCAAAGGTCGCAGTGTTTTATCAGGAGATACAGCAGGTTTGCAGACACTTAAAAATTCAACATCAGTGTGTGCCATGACTGCACACACAGTCCAACTCCCCTGCTCATACTCCAGCGAAGCTGAATAAAAGCTCTGAAATTTTAAAGGAAAGTGGTGAGCAAAACACTGGGGTAGGAGTTTAAAGCCACAATGGCACTGTCCTCTCCTGTGAGAAAGGGCAGCATTCCGAGGATGCATTAAGGTGTACAGGCCTTTCCTCATGTCTGTCAGCAAGAACAGTCCAATCAAAGCCTGTCATGGCCAGGAAGCACCTCCATGCAGTGCCACTGGGATGCAAAGAGATGGGGAAACCAGCAGACTGGATGGAGAACAGAAGCCACTTAATGCCCAAGGCAGTGCTAACAAAGCTCCCAGCCATGGGGCTACTGGAGGGGAGGGGACTGAAGAATTCTTGGAGCAGCTGTTGCCAAGAAGGGTGTGAAAGAGACAACACAGCCCTGCGCTCTGCACTGAGCAATTCCTTCAAAAAAGCACGGAGAAGGCAATCTGTGCCATCACATCCAGGTGCAAGGAGGTGCCTAATGTATACCAGTGGCAGCTAAGAGTCCTGTTCACTTCCCAGGATAGATGGGATAACAGCAGGGTGTCAGGACATGGTTCACTACAGACGTCTGGTACAAATCAAGGCAATCACAGAAGCTTAACAGATTGCTTTCAAAACCTAAAGAATGAAATTGGACACTGTGTGACTCAACATGCCTTTTTACCTTTTACTGCTCCTTTTCCTATATCCTTCTTATCTACTCTGGGTAAAAAAAATCAGACTTGTGAATTCTCTGGGGAAGGGACCATCTATGCACAATCTGTAATCACTGCTGATGAGTTTTAATTAAAAGTTGAACTCAGCCCCCTACAACCTCCTCCAGCCCCAAGACAAGCCATCCAAAACTAACAGGGGCTCAGTTTTCAAGAGTTTTGCACCTTTGGCCCTGAGTTCCACTCGCTAATTAGAAATATTTGCATGTACCTGGCTTTGCACACCACACAGATATGGAGATAATTCCAGCCCCCAAAACTCTGTAAAATCTGCCACAGACAAAAAGCCACAGCATGCCAAGAAAAACACAGAGGAAGGCTTTTTGCAAAAAAACCCCAAAACCAGAATTGATAGTAAATTCTGCTCTTTTACTAGTCGAGGAACTGCTGGCTGGTGAAAATGAAACCTGCTCCAGCAGAGAAACTGCAAATCAGGCTGGCTCCCTACCCCCCTTCGACTTGGTAGTTCATACCCAGAGGTCAAAGGAGCTGCTTTATCAAGGAGCCAACACCTCGTAGCTGCTCCTCCAGCAGTCCCTGCATCAGGTACATAAACCTGTTATTAGAGACAGTCCCTTCTCCCCCTTTTGAGGAGGCATAAGGCAAGCAATGACTTCCAAGCACCAGGCTGCTCCAGGAAGGTCTCCACAGGTGACAGTCCCCAGATTTATGTGTCTGTCTGCTTCCAGTCTAAACACTCTCATTCTATTACAGAAAAAAAAAAATCTGTTTGATCTGTCAGCTCCTCAGACTGCTGCTGAGTGTGGATGACTCCTGTCATCCTGTTACACAGGAAACACAAAATATCCGGAAACAACACGGTATAACATGACCCCAGGTGAGAGTGCTCAGTGAATACACACACACACCCCAGCCTTCCCAATTATATATCACAGCTCTTACTGTTTTGGGAGCTAACAGAAACAAAAAGCCACACTGTGCACCTTTACAAGGCCCTCACATTATCCAGAGGTGTAGCATCCTGGTGCTGGGTACAGACATGCCCAATTCCCCGGAGCAGAGACTCCAGGTTTGCACAGGCAGCCCTGGTGGAGTGTTGCACTCTGTTCTGTTGCCTGTGCACAGTGAGAAATTGAGCTGAACTCACAGCCTCAGCTGGCACAACTTGATTTTGAGAAGTTGGGAGGGCAGAAACCCAACAAAACCACCTAACTGAGAGTCAGTCATATTTTTTCTTCATAAATTCAGCAAATGTCACCCGATGCAAACGAGAAGGCGCCGCCAAATTAGAAGGGGAGATTTTCACACCCACCCTTTTTGGTGTGAGGCAGCCTATCCACAAGGTCTGCAATCACCTGTTACACTCTGCACATGCACAACAGAAATGCTTTGTAATGACAGACAAGAGACCTAGAAGGGAAGACAGGAAAACGGGTTGCAGAAATCCAAGCAAACTCTAGCACAGTGCTAGAATGCCTTTTTTTATACAATGCATTCCCCCAGGGTTTCTGTGTAACACCACGGGCACAGAGAAGATTACAGGGAAGAGATGTTGCAAAACTTTATCCTAAAGAAGACTCTGAACAGCACTAAACTTATGTAAAGAAGTTACAAAGCAGTGGAAAAAAAAAAACCCACACAGAAAACCCCTTTCTTTTTAAACAACACTTTCTCAGATGTTATGCTTCCACGGGCAGGTGAAAACAGTTTCATTCTGATTAGCGACAGAAAGTTATAACACAACACCAACCAAACTTCCCCACAAGTGGACTTTTTGCAAAAGTCCTTTATGAAAAAAAACAAACCAAAACAAAAACCTTAAAAATTATTTCCTGTTGGGGAACCACTTTGCTCCTTCCTCCACCAAACATTTTAACGGTTATGAAAAAATAACAAGGATCCGACAACAAGACTTTGGCCCAGATACCCCAAGAAACATCAAGAAAAGTTCACAGCTCCTGAAATAAGCATGGTCTTTCTGAATTAAGACTCTGGTGATTTAAATATCTCTGAGGTCCTGTACTTTTTTATTTTTTTTTAAAGCTACAAAATATTGTGCTTTAAAAAAAAAAAAAAAGACAAGAAGCCCCCCAAACCCATCAGTTTGAGAGCCACTGTCACCCCAAGCTACAGACCATCACCAGACCACGTGCACTAGAGAAACACCCTCCTAAGGAAGGGGTGCCGCTCACTCTGTTGCTTCCCACTTCGCACACCGCCCAGCCTCCAGCTCCAGCCTCCCGTCACCCCGGATCGAACGTGTGGCTGGGTCACGGGAACGTGAGCGCTCCTCACGGGAAACAAAGGGACAGCCGAAGGCGCTCACCACCTCGGCAGGAGGCCAGACACCTACAGCCCCGGGGAGGGCACCGAGAGCGGAGAAAAGCACACACCGAACTGACTCACCCGTATCAACTACCAGCTTTTCCTGCAAGTTTTAACGCTATTATTAGAAATCCTTTCTTGCCTCGCTTTCTCGCTGTAGCTGCCACTCCCACATCCCTCTCGCTGGAAGGCTGAGGCAAGCGCGGGTCCCTCTGGAGTCGCCGCTACAGGATTAACTCCTTCCTCTTCCCTGCCCAGCAAACGCCCCTCCAGTGCGAAAACTCTCACCGGGGACTGAGGGCGATGTGTTGGACTTTACCACGTAGTCCAAAGGCAAGAAGAGGGAGCTTTTTATGGTTTACGAGATAGCCCCCGAGCGGGAGGGAGGGCACAAGCGGGGACGGGGGTGCAGGGAGCGGCTCGATCCCGGCGGGAGAAGCGCAGAGGGGCCGGAGGCGACAGCAGAGCCGAGGGTCGCTCCCAGCACGGGCGGAGGGATGGGCGGGACAGCGACACGGCCATCGGACACCGAGCGGGAAACACGGCAAAGGGAGAAAAAACCGCGCCGATAAGCGCCAGGCCAGACTCGGCGGGCAAGAAGGAAAAGGGAGAAGGGCAGAGGAGTTCAGGGAGAACGGGGGGGGGGCAGAGGAGCTTCCAGCATCCATAAGGGAAAGCAGAAGGCGCGCACGGCCCCCCGCGGGGTCCCTTCACCCCGCAGGCCGGGGGGGCTGCGAGGAGCAGCGGGGAGCGCCCTCCCCGGCGCTGATGCCCCGCGGCCCGGGCGGCGGCGGGCCCGGCCCCCGACCCGACCCGGCTGGCGGCCCTTCCCGGGCGCGGCCGCGCCGACCTCTCGGTGTGTGTGTGGGGGGCAAGAACCGGGCGGCGGCCGATGTTCACCCCGCCGCACGCAGGTATCCCCGCCGCGGGCAGGCGCGGGCCGTACTCACCGGGAGCGGGGCAGGAGCGCTCGGCGGCGGCAGCGGCGCCGCTCCCGGTATTTGAGAGGCTCCGCTCCGGCCCCGCCCCGCGGGCCCCGCCAACGGCCGCGCGCGCCCGGGCCGTGAGGGCTCCGCGCCGGGAGCGCTCCGGGACCGCCCCCGAAACCCCGCGGTCCGCCCGGGCGGGGATCCCCGGCCCCGGCACAGCCCCCAACCCGCACAGGGATCCCCTCGGGGCGGCGGGCAGCGGAGCTGCGGAGTTCTGATGGGTCCCCACCTCGTGCTGCTGCTTGGCCGAAGTCTCCTCGTCTGTGCCCCATCTGTAGCCACTCCCCTCCCTGACAAATGAATTTAGATTTTCGTTTGATGTCGTTTTATGGGCTTAATATCACAGAATCGATCAGGCTGGAAAAGACTTCTGAGGTCACCGAGTCCAACCCATGACCGAACACCACCGTGTCAACCAGACCATGGCACTGAGTGCCATGTCCAGCTTTTCCTAAACACCTCCAGGGACAGTGGCTCCACCACCTCCCTAGGCAGCCCATTCCTATGTCTAATCACCCTTTCTGTGTAAAAAAACTCTTCCTAATGTCCAACCTAAACCTCCCCTGGGGCATCTAAAGTCTATGTGCTCTCATTCAGTCACTGCTTGCTTGGGAGAAGAGGCCAACCCCCATCTGGCTACAACCTCCTTCCAGGTGTAATAATATAGTCCTATTTAACTAATATAGTACTACTTAAACTAATTTGTATTTAATACAGCCTTATACTTTAACACAGTTCTGTTTAAAGCAATGCTTACCTGGTATTCAGTGCAGGTTTCCTCCCTGTCATGCTTTTCTTCCCAACACGCTCAGCCTTGGGATCACCCCACAGGCCACTCCACGGGTGTTTGCCCAGGGAGGGGCTGATCATAGAGCGCTTTTTAAAGTTCCTGGGACTCCGTGAAATGGACCAAGCTGACTTTGATTCTGGTTTGAGTCATATTGGTCAACCCATCAGGTGGTTTCCCGCTGGGAATGATGGAGGGGGGGAAAAAAGTGACATCTGCTGACTTTTCTAAGTTCCAAGGAACTGAAGAAAAGTTTCTGTTTCTTCAAACTTTTCAGCTTGGTCTCGGAAAGTCATCACTGCGAGCCCCAAGTAGGCAAGACACACTCTCTCCCTTATGCCCAAAGTATAGTTTTTCTCTTGAGATAAGTGGTTTTTATATTTTTTGATTCTGGTATCTGAGTAATACAGATTATATATTTGTATAGGAAATGTTAATAATAAACAAGAGATGTTATCTTTTGCTTACAGAAACCCACGTGACTTCTGTGTCTGAGACATGCAGAAAATTACCACACACTCAGCCGGTTTGGAAATACTAGTTTATCCACTTTCCTGCTATCCACAGGCATTTACACTGTTCCCAAGGTGCCAAGGGAAAACGTTACTTTTCTGAAGCTTGGTTAGGACAGGTTTTTTTTTTCTTTCCTTATCTTAAGTGCTGTGTAAAAGGATGCAGGCTAAGGAAGGAGGCAAGTCTAATACCTATAAAATGAAGCAGGAAGCCCCCTCCCTCTGCCTCTCCAGGAGGACGGTGCCAGCAGAGATGCAGCCACAAGCCAGCACTGTTACTTCCACCCCTTACCACCTGTAGGATCCTTTTCCCTGGTAACTGCTCTGTTGCTGATGATGCTTAGGATTTAAAGGAGGAAGATACACTCCGGCTCTGCTTGAGTTCTTAGAGACATCTGGCCAAGTAGCATCCTTACAGGATTAGGTTTGCATTTTCTTAAAAATGCAACTGCTAATGTAGGCAGCTGCAATTGCTAATTGCTGTCACAGCACTCATGGTGAGCAATTTTCAAAAATGTAAAATATGAGGGAAGCCGGAGCGGCAGAGTTTTTTTAGGCATGACTTCCTCTTAGTTATTTTTCCTGACAAGTTACCTTCGTTGTCCTTATCCAGGCCCAGTATAGGCAGGAGGGCTGTATAAGATAATATATATCTGCTGCTGCCAGAAAGGGGCTCTGCACATTACTCAATGAGCCCACTGACATCCTTCCTGTGCCCCTCACGTGAAAGCACATTCTCCCTCCCACCTCGGTAACTTCCGTGCTGTTCCTTACCTCCTCCCAGAGAGCTGGGGAATGACGTCAGGTGGGTGAGGCAGCTTCGAGGGCATGGACACCACCTGTGGAAAAGGTCAGAGGTTCCTGAAGGCTACTTTCATTATGAATGAAAACAGAAAGCAGCAGCTGCCACCACGCTGGGCTCCTGGGGCGGGGTTTATTTGTTAGAGTGCCTTTTCCTGGTGTTATTTCTTAGACACACGTGGCTGATCCGTGCAGGATCCTGCTCATCTCGGAGGGCTGGCATAGCTCTTTGCCCAAGCAAGCAATAGAGGAAGTCGGCCCTAGGAGTCCAGTTGCTCTGTTCATAGTTTATAAAATACCAAAACCTCTGGGTTCCTAACTGAGACTGGGGACTAACAGGCTAACAGTGTAATTAAATAGGCATGATGGTCACAACACCGGTCTCCTAAGCTATGGACGGGAGCTGACCTCCTGTGTCCAAGAGTCCATACACTCACTTTTCTTTTGGCGAATTCTTTGTGGACTGGCCTTTTGACACCAGAGAGCTCAAGTTACCCCTGTCCTCCCCGGTAACAACAGCTTTCTCCCACTACTGTTTTTTCTCCCACTACTATTTGAAAGCAAGAGACCAAAACGACAGGAAGAACTGTGGGGTTTGAAAGGTCCTCAAAAAGCTGCCACCCTACTGAGCTGCACAAATGAATGAGCGAGCTGTGCACCTGCAGCACAGCCTATTGGCCCGGCCTCCAGGCAAGGGGAAATCCGAAGCCCATCACGCCTCCTGCTGCCCTAATAGGTCTGCTTTAATCACACCACCTTAGGAACAGCAGGGTTTATCCTTTGTTTTGAGAGCGGTTGAGTGGGCAGGAAAATAAAACTCATTGTTTGGGATTTCCCTGGCTGGGATTTCCCCACAGCATCCTGTGTGAAATTTCTTTTTTTAAAAAAAAAAAGGCACAAAGTTTTTTCTCTCAAGTCTCCTTACTGACAGTAGTGCTGCTGACTGGATATCACTATGCCAGGCTTCAAGCTCCTGATGTTTATTGGACCCAGCACCTACCACTGAGGCCGAACACCCACCCTTTTCAAACAGGAGATACCCAGATGCCTTTTCTTGACTCCTGAGCTGGTGAGGTTGAAATCCTGAATCCTTCCAGTCTGTTCAAGGGGCACAGTTCTAGAGCTGCACCTTGCTTAGCTCATATGGCAGAACTGGCACAGTGCAGACGAGACACGAGCACGGAATGGTGGAGACTTAAAGCAACACAAAGTCAGCACAGAGGCATTTGTGTAATTCTCTCCTTGTTTTGCACTAGTGTCAGATGTTCAGGCTGGTTCTGCAGGCTGAGAAAGTGAGTTACAGTTACAGAAATTAAATCCTACAATTCAGTTTATATTACCTTCATCCCTTCTTGGCTAATTACCGTAACTTCTCTTCACAAGAAATCCAAAAAACAATGTAAAATATGGAGAAGGGAGGACTGTGTATTTGGGCTGTATCGAGATTGATTTGTTTGCATCAGATAATTCAGAGTGACTTAAGAGTGTTCCAGCAAAAGAGAAATTGAGGCCAGGCCCTTTAACACTTATGTTTTTATCTCTAGATCACCTTCCCTCAGCTCCCAGCTTGCTCTTCAATCATCAATCACAGGAGTGAATGCAAGGGAAACAAACGGTAACTCCACCAACAAAAAAGAAAAAATAATTAATGATTTTATTTTTTTGTTCTTTTTTTTAGTTCAGTTGGCCATCTGAGGTGCTAAAATCTCAACACCAACGAAGCAAGTGTGCATAAAAACAAACAATAAAACACAACCCAACAGAAGAAAACAGGCTGGAACAGAGTTGGTTTTGTACAGGTAGGGTATACGCTTTTCCTCTTAACACTCCATACATGCCAACCGTAAGAGCCTCGAACAATCTGAATATCAGAGTTCACTTTCATACAAAAGGGAAGATGCCAAAGCAGATCCCTTCACCTGGATTAGACTTCACACACACACGCATGCACGCACAGATACAGAGTATTTAAGTTACTGCAATGCCATCAGAACATGGCATCCTCCCCTTCACATCTGCTTTCAGTGACACCCTCATCTGCCTGCTACCCTGCCTATAGCGGTACTCTGAGCACTCTCCAAAAGCAGGAACTTTTGGAAAGCTTCTAATATTTTACAACAGTTGAGAGCCAGCGATCTCTTTCTCTGTGAACTATATACAGGCTGGTTTTTAGTATGCTTTAGAGTTCTCTTTCTTGCAGACGGTGATGACTGAAATTCCCAGAAAGCCACATCGAGGCTTTTCAGTTTGTACACAGGAGATTTTATAATGCAACACCTTTCTCGTCCACTGGTGTCTGGTGTAAACACTTAAACTGAAAACTCATCTTAAAAGAATGTTAACCAAACAAGGTGTAGCTGTGAACATTTTAGGAACAGCTGTTCACAAAACGGGAACTGCCAGCTGCTCTAGATCATGCAGTCTAGACCACTTATAATAATACTTCATAACGTTCAGGATTAGGATGTATAAAAATATTAAAAACCACCAGAGTGCACACAAATGTGGTGACTAGCTCTATGCAAGCACCGTGTTCTAAGAGAAGGCCTAGGCATTGCACAAAACTCAGATTCTTGACCGTGGGGGTAACCCAGGGATCCACTGGTGTCTTTACATACAAACAAATATTTACATAAAATGCAGAGACGGAGAGAGAGAAGGACAGACTTTTAAAACTTGCGGTTTGCTCTAAAATATGTTGTTCAGCAACGCAGTTTGTAACGTGCCCTAGTGAGACCATGGGGTATTGGTTAACTGAAAGAAGGAGTATGTCTGAAAGTTGGAGCTGAAATGTCTCGTCACCTCCCCACACATTAGTTCTCTGAAGCTCAGGATTTTACAGCCATTTGTGACTTTTCATGAGAATATGGTTAAAAGAACAGAACAGTTAAAATAAAAATGTACTGTGAAAACAGCAGATTAGTTGTTTTGGTAGTCCTCACTCCCCCAGTCCCACTTGCCTCCTGGGTGTTTCCAGGAGGTTGGTATCCCCCTCCCTTCCCCGAAGGGGACTGAAGTGCTTGCCCCATCCTCAGTGTGCCCATTTCAAAACGAACACAGCTTGGGTTCCAAGCTCGGCTCTCTCCCTACCTCCTGCAGGGATGAAGCGGCCAGCCCCTGGTACAGACCGTGTCACCTGGGACAGACACCCTTGAGTGCCCACTCCTCGGAAGCTGAGGGCCTTTTCGCTCTCCTCACACGCGAAATGGACACACGTCATCGAATGCACATGGCCGAGTCACGTGCTGCTGCCCACCCGGGCAGCACAAAGAGCTAGAACATCCTACTTGGATTCTGATACAAATAAGGAATCTTGCGGCCACAAGAGCCTTCTTCGGCTTTAAAAATATAAAATTTGAATTAAAAATATTCAGATAGTAAAAAAACCCAGTATCTGATATGCAAGTCGTATTCTTTAAAGTGCAACTGAACAGCAAATACGAGTTGTGCCTTTTACAACCATTTTGATATAAAAAGGCCTTTTAACATTCCCTTTCATGTATTTTTAATTAATTTGCGTGTGCGATGTTAGCTCTTCATTTTCATTCTCACTGCTGGAGGCCTTCAGCATAACCCAACGAGTTTAGGCTTAGATTATGCACTGGTTTCATGGTGCAGTAAGAGATTATGCCCTCAAGTGATATCACTCTTCAGCACTGCAAAGATCTGGCCCATGTCCCCCAGCATGAAAGGGAAAAGGAGTGATCTGGTATTTCTTCTTCAGGACTTTGTTCTGTTCTGCAGCTCACATTCAATGACCTTTCGTTACGAGTTGGGTGTGGTCC